AGCTGTTCGCGTGTGAAAAGCGCTGTTCGCACCGCGCCCTCTGTGGGATTCTGTGAGTCTTGTGTTCAAGAACAGAGGCTACTCCTGGACCCTCGACGTGTCCGTGTCACGAGTTGTGTTCCCTCGCCGTGTCACGGAGGTCAGCAGTAGAGTCATGTCATTTTAGTGCCATGCCTGGGAGAGTGTCAACATGTGTCAATCATAGTCTTGCCTCATTTGCCCAACAAACGATGGCCAAAGCACCTTGATGATGTTGATTTGAATGTTTGCAGATCCTGTTCTTTCCTATCCCGTCCTCTAAAACTTCATGGGTTTATGTTACATATCCCCACGTTTTTGTCAGGAACAAAAGACACGTTCAGAGTGGGCAACAGCCCGGTCTACATAGGGTTCTTTTCCATGTGTCTTCCGTCGACGTCAGTTGTTCCTTCCCCCCGTCTTCGGGTCACGCCCGACCGCCGAGGCGCGAACCACGCGGTTCACGCGGTTCACGCGACCGGAGAAAAGAAGGTCCGGCCTTGCGCCGGAGCATTCTGGCTCAGTATACTTCCTGGAGCCCGGGACGTTTGACCTCTGTTAGGAAGTTTGACGATATGTTTGGGGTGGTCTCAGTGGTCTCCAAAATAGAGATCAGTGTTTAGGTTCTATCTAGCTTGTTAACTGTCACTGGCCGACTCATCGACCACCGGCGCGCGGCTCGGACTTTCGCGGGCGACCGTGGACCGCCGCTGGCGACCTCGATGCGGAGACCGATTCGAGCGGCGCTGCGGCGTGACGTGTTCGACCCACGACCCACGACCCACCAGGTTGCTGAAGGGCAGTCCGAAGAGGGGAGACGAAGCGAGGGTGGGGAGTGTCAGGATGGCCGTGCTTGCTATTTTTTGGGGGGGGCGGGCGATCTGCGGTTGTTGTTCAGGTCGGATGAAACTAGGCTCCGGACCTTGTTCGAAGAGATTTGGGGGGGGGGGAAGATCCTGTTACCCAGACGCTCCGTTCACAGCCCTTGGTCCCTCAAAACCTAGAGAATTGAGACCCCAGACTCCTCCATATGAGGTTCCGACCCCTCCATAGGTTCGGGGCCGAACAGGTCGCGTCTGGGTAGAAAGGGTGTTCGCTTCCACATGCCCACCATCTCGCAGTTTGGCCGCGCAGACGCGGGGGAGCACCGTGAGTTCAACGCAAACATGGGGCCATGGCGTAGTCAGTAAACAGCACATCGGGCCAACCATGACCAGTAACAGTCAGTATCAACAATGATCCAATGAGAGTCAAAGACTATAAAAAGAATGGTCCTTCAGTAGGTGACCCGAGTCAAGGAATTTACTTCAGTCGGTTGAACTATGCGAACTGGACTTCAGTCGGGGATCACTATTTTGGAACTCCTGTCGGCCAGGCCGGCCCCATCCTCATCGACGACAGGTTGGGACTGATGGACCATGAATCTGACCCCATCCATCCATCTCGGGCCTGTTTTTTTCACATTCCTCCGGACTGTCCCACAGCTTGGGGTCCCTTCTGCCGGAAGACTTGGTTGACCTATACAGGTGTCAAATCGTAAAACAGCTGGTGCTTGGGGATGACCCCATGAAATCCAGGAAGTCTGGGCTTTTCGCGGCGTCCAGAACCCACACCGACACTTCCGCTGCCTTCGTGTCCGACTCGCGGAACCCGCGGGAACACGCGGCGTCCCATGGTGATGGAGTAGACGTCTGAAAGGCGGGTCATGGCCTGGACGTCAGGCGCGGAGTGGTGATGGCGGAGAGGCTGAAGGGCCTGGTCACATGGACCTCTTTGGAGGAAAGTGAGGAAACTAGACGACGAGTGGCCCGAAAGCATTTTTCATCACGTAGGAAGTCAGAGTGTGAGTTATCTGTTAAGTGTTCAGTGTGAAGTGTTAAGTCGAGTGAGTTGAGGCAGTGTGTGGGTCTCTGTGTGTGTGTGTACCTATGTCTGTGTGTGTATGAGTCTCTGTCTGTGTGTGTGTCTCCGAGTAAGTTGAGGCAGTGCGTGGGTCTCTGTGTGTGTGTGTCAACCTCTCAAGAGAGCCGGGTGGTCGGGAGACATGACTCAGCTGCAGGGGCGCCAGAGCAGCTGCGAGAGATGACTCAGCCGCGAGAGATGACTCATCCGCGTACTAAAGTTGTACTGCAAAGTCGCCAGTTCTCAGCTTCCAGCTCCACAGATTGCTCCGCGTACTAAAGTTGTACTACAACTTCGCCAGTTCTCATCTTCCAGCTCCCCAGATACTCCGCGTACTAAAG